CGTGTAGTTGTTAATGACTTTCCTGCAACTGTTGGAGACTTTCTTCCTGTTTCCTTTCTTGTTCCAGTTGACACTGCTGTAATCTCTCTTCTTGTTTCTTTTCTCGTACTTCTTGTTTTTATCGTTTTCTTCTAACAACTGCTGTAATTTCTCTTCTTGTTTATTTTCTTTCTCCTCCAACCACTGCTGTAGTCTCTCTTCTTGTTTCTTTTCTCGTTCTTCTTGTTTCTATTCTTTTTCCTCCAACAACTGCTGTAATCTCTCTTCTTGTTTATTTTGCTGTTCGAGCTGCCATTGTTGCAGGTTTTCTTGCCAAAGATCGGGGAACATTACGAATAATCCAGTATTTGCTAGGCGCCTTCTATTCTTGTATATAAGTGCGCCAGGCAATTAATCGGAATTGAATTGCAGTCAGGCAGAGATAGAGACGGACAATTGAGTCAAGCGCAGTAAATTGTGTGAAACGTTCGTTGTGAATTATAGCGTGTGTTTAAGTTAATGTGACTGTGGAAATTAAGTGTATTGCAAGGTTGAATTGAGAAAGAATAAACTAGTTTTATTTGAGAAAGGACTTGTATCGCCGAAGTTCTCCAGAAAGAATTTTTACGAGTAATTAACAAACGACCAGAGACACAACAAATTGGTGTCAGGAGTGGGATGAAAAAAAAGAAAGAAGATGGAAACGAGAAGTGGCAAATCAAACTACAGCTTAGCAGATTTGATGGCAGCAATACAAGAACAGCAAAAGAAACAAGAAGAACGAGAAAATAAACAAGAAGAGAAACGAGAAAAATGAGAAAAGAAACAAGAAGAAAGATTACAGCAGTAAAACATATATACGTCCCATAATTCAATACGCTTGCCCTGCATGGATAAACATAGCACCCCAAACATATAAATAAGCTACAATCTACACAAAACTCACTTATCACCACAGCATATAAAGTCCCTCGTAGTACCTCATTAAAAGTTATGCACAGATATGCAAACATACAAACAATAGCTGATAGACTCTTGCATAATACTATAATTACTTTGCAAAAAATTGGCAAAAGAATGACCTACTCTGTGAACTTGATCGCTACTACATACATGATGGAAGTAGACCTAAGTACCTCTCACCTGTAAACATTTATTTTAGAACTAAGGATTTAGCAAGGCCACCAATTACTAGACCCTAAACCCTACATTAGTTTGGACTAAAACAAATGCATTTAAAGGGTATTTTATGTAAAATGTATTAGATTAGTTTCTAACTTGTGAAATGTGTTGTTCGCATATATGGAACTGTTTGCTAAGTGTAAGACTATACAACACCGAATTAAGCGATGTTATGCACAACACAAGAATGTAAATGAAGATACCTACATGGACATGCCCTGAAAGGGGTCGGAGCAAGTGCGGTTTTCTCCGACTGTCATGTCGTATCTACATAAACATTCATCTGTTCCAAAAACCACAGTTAGGATAGGAGGAAAAGGTCTTCATGTATCTGACCCTCCCTGGTCTATCAAAAGCCCAAAATGCCGGTTACGAAACTGAGAGGTGGCTGCGACGATTCTGAGAGTCTTCACTTTGACGTGTCTGTGATGTCACAATGAAACGTTTATAGGAGGTAACCTGTAACGTACTGGAAAGGTCACAGTCTTTAGTGAGCATTTTCAAAGGAACAGTGTTGTACGTGGTAT